ATGTATGTGATGATATTGATGTTTCCTTGTTGAAATATTGATGTTTCGAAGTTCTTGATGTCTCCAGTCTTTCCTTTAAAAGTGGAAGTTCTGTTTAAATATTTTATAGTCACTCAGGTATTGGACTTATGCTCTTCATCACTAATGAAAAAGTAGAACTAAGGTGGTGGCTCTTTTATTAACATGTGTGTGTACAAGATTGTTCTGGTGCCAACTGAATAAGCAAAATTTTCTTTTTTATTAGAAAAATGATAAGACAAAAACTTTGCTTCTATTGGCATGTGTTCCTGTGTACTTTTCCAATCAAACATTAAAATAGCAATTATATCTAACATGCTCTTTAATGTAAATTTTCTATTGAAAATTTATAATGTTTCCAATACACTTGGCATGACAGGACTTGGAGAAGATAGGAGCATTGCAAATTTTAGAGAATCAAGAGGCAAGGATAAAGTGATAGAAGAAGGTGATAGTGTTGGAGAAGAATGAGGTTAGGATAAATAGATTAGGAGTATTGTTTAGGATAAATGTTCATGTCCATAAAATTATTTTCATATGTGAAGCATTCATGATTATGTGTATCCATATTTAAGGATCTAGAATTTCACCTTCTGTAACTCTTATTTGTCTGTATATTCAATTTATTGCTTTAGGTGTTAATTTTGCTTATAAGTGAATATTTGTTGGTGTTCAATTATTTTGCTACATGGAATGTACAATAGATTTATTTTAAAAGTGTAAAACATGAACTATGCATTATGTCAATGTAAAGGAATAAAGTTGTTCTGTGTATGAGTTGTTCAATGATTTTCTTTTATTTCTAACATTTGGTTTTCAGAATATCAAAATAGATTTTCATGAAAAATGAGTAAATTTTTAAAATATGCATTTGTGTTTTTCGAATACTCTTTGGTGTTTTCATGAAAAATGAGCAAATTTTTATAATATCCATTCACGTTTTCAAAATATTCATATGTTCTTTCAAAATATCAATTTGCATTTTCAAAATATCCATATGTGTTTTCACAATATCCATTTGTGTTTTCAGAATATGTATTTGTGATATCCTAAAAACATAACATTAATGTAATATTCAATCTCAAGTTCTAAGTCATATTCAAATATGCATTTTGAATATCTTGAAAATGCAGTTTTCTTTCATTTATTTGAATAACCATTTTGTATATTCAAATATTACTTCAAGAAATTACAAATAGGCTTCCATTTATTTGAATATGTAAAAGTGTTATTTGAATATATGAAAAAAAATTTACATTTTGTTGAAAATTAGTCGCATATTGAGGAACAAATATTACATATGCTTCGATAGATACCTATAAGGAAAATTAACAAGTGATATTCAAATATAAAAAAAATGTTATTTGAATATGTGAAAGAAATTTACATTTTGTTAAAGATTGATTGCATATTGAAAAAGAATGATTGCAAACGATTCTAAAAGTATTCACAAGAGAAATTAATAAATGATATTTGAATATATAAAAGTGGTATCCACAAGAGAAATTAATAAATGATATTCAAATATACAAAAGTGTTATTCAAATATGTAAAAGAAATTTACATTTTGTTGAAGATTGGTCGCATATTGAGAAAGAAAGATTGCATATGCTTCCAAAAATATTCAAAAGAAAAATTAATGAGTGATATTCGAATATGCAAAAGTGTTATTTGAAGAAATAAAAGTTTTCTTACATATAATTGAAATTCAAATACATATATTAGAAGAATCGATACATATGACTAAAGATCCCTGCATATGGCCTTTTTTAACATATTAACATTAAAGGATCTTGTATTAGTGTTGATATGAAATTATTGACAGCGAAAGACTTTACTTGCTCCACTTTTCTTTTTTCTTTTTACAATAAGGGTATTTATGTCATGTAGCCTTCAAAATTAATGCCAGTGAAGGATCTCATTCTCCAAAAGTTCCCAATTTCTTTTCAGCAATTAATTTGGTGGTGAGGTTTTTTTATACGAATTTTCATTAATTAAATAATCCAAACATATTTAATTTTGTCAAAATTAATTTAAAAAATAATATGTATCCAAACATAATCATGTCATAATTTAATAAATTAAAATTTAAATTAATTGATAAAAGAGACAATATCTGTAAGTGGAAACCCAACCCTCGTTATATATGTGATGTTTGCGAAAGCCCAAGAGCATTGTTTTAACTTACAGAGGAAGGTCTCTGTTCTCATAAAGAACTCAGAAGAGTGAAAACAGAAAAATCAACTGACATGGGAATAAACACAAACACAAATATGTGTGTGTGTGTTGGGGGGGGGGGTGTGTGTACACACAAAAGTTGAGGAAGAACATGCAAGCGTCTGAGTGAGCATTAAATATGAGCATGGAGCGAAAATACATTAAATGGAGGGCCTTCTGAACTTAACTGAAAAGACCGGACACCATACCATCATGTGTTGATTATCCAAGAGAATCTTCAATTGTTCCAACTTGCTCACGTGAAGGGTACGATTTGCAAGGTCAATGGTGAGTCAGACTTTTGACAATAAAAAAATGTAAAGCAAAAGCAAGACCTAGTGTTTAAAAACTCAGATCGACTTGAATGGTCGAACAGTGGAATCATCAGTCAAAAAAAATTAGTTTGATTCAATATTTGACCCGTTCTGACAGTTGACTTAAGTTGGTTCATTTTGATCGGAGCAGTTCTTGAAGACTCGGAGCAGAAATCTAAAATTTAAAGTAGTCAAACCATTTTGACCAGCTTTTCAATATATATGTGTATAAATATTATTTTTTATTTAATTATTATATCATCAATTCAATCACTTGTCTAACTGGTTGAATCATGGAACTCTTAACTCACTAATTTTTTTAGTTTATTATCCGATTCTATTTTTAAAACATTGACAAGACCTCATTTTTTTGGTATCTGGGTTCTCTGTGTACGCACCCCTAATAAAAGGCAAAGGGCAAAAAGGGTAAAGTGACAATAGGGGTGAAAAAGTATAACAGATATTGGATGGAATCATTGGAACCAAAAAAACTATATAAGTTTTAAACATACAGAAAATTTATTTAAAAATAATCAAAAAATTATTATAAAAACAATGATATAAAATAAATTTTTGTTAAAATAAAAATATAATTTATTTTTAATAAAATTTATTATTAATATTTATTTAAATTATGATTTAAAGAGTCCTTAAGTGCCATCTTCTTAAAAAATATCAGGTGTTGTCAAATGAAGTGACGTAGGGGGAACAAAAGACTGACGAAGTGATAAGAACAGGGAACCGAACAACAGTGAATAAGCCAAAACAATTCACAACTAAGGGGAAATACATCTGGGGGGAATATTAGGTAAATATTGATGATTGATTTCTTGTGCTTTGTTGCAGTAATAGTTTTTTTTTTGGTTCTGTTGTTAAAAAAAATTGATCCTTTTTTAAGAAAAGAATTGCTTCTTTTTTCTGGTCATGAAAAAGATTTGTTTCTTTTAACTAAATTGTTGTAAAGCTATTTATAAAGTTAGATAATAATTTGTAAAGGTTTAGAGAATTATCCACCGTATGTGAATTCATTAATTATTCATAAATTATCCAATAAAACTCAGTAAGTTAGCTTGCATACTTAAAGTCGAGAAACAGGTGAGTCAAACTTATACAGACTTGGTCAAGTTGGTCTGATTTTGAGCCCATAAACCCAATTACCTCAAAAATTAATTTTTTTTTAAAGCCTGGCTTTTATTTGTAGGATTCAAGCTCATGATGTAAGCCCATTTTTATTATTTTTAATATTTTTAAAAATAAAACTTTCAATTATAATATTTTTTCTTAAAATTAAAAATAAATAATAGCAATTCTTATTTTAAAATAAAACATATATTCTAATATTTAAATTTAATTTAAAAAATTGAAAATGCTCCCACAGGTTCTATTTGTAAAATACCTTTTAAAAATAATTTTTTGTCCAAGATATATAATACCTCATAATAATTAAATTATTTTTTTCAAAATTTACTTTTTTATTAGTGTGAAGGTATTTAATATAATTGTATAATAATTTAAAATTAAAGGGAAAAATAAAAGCTTATATCATTTTTTTATGATATCAAAAAAATAAATTTTCTTAATATGCTTGAAACGATTGGAAGTTTTTTATAATAAGAATTAGAAAGAGTATTTTATTTTTAGGAATAAAAAAAATGAGCCTAAATGAGTCATCCAAACTTCTTTTTCAAGGCTTATTAAGGCTGAATTTCAAAACTCAATTTCTTAAAAAAAAATACTATCTTTAAGTATGAACTCTCATAAAAATGAATTTAAACGAACTGCTTCTCAGATGCAACCTTTATCCTGGCTCTATGTATGCTAGTAACTAGTAATCGTTAATTAGCTTAAAATGTAAAATATTTATTATCATTATGCTTCATTAGTTGTACGATAATGGATATACTAATGACAAAAATAATATATTTACTATTCCTATGCAAAAAATTCGAAGAGTTTTTGTTTTGTTTGGAAACTAAGGATTAAAATTAATTCAAAGTGAAATATTCAACATCAAAGTGATTAATTGATCGATTAATTATTTTTTTTATATATTTATATAATATTTAATATTATTATATCAAATTTACATCAATTTAAACTTGAAATTTCAAGATTAAGTATCGATGTCCACTGGAACTAGTTAGTATTGGTACTAGTAATTAATTAAATTGTTGTTTAACAAATTAATTAATAAAATTGTTAATGAATAATTAATTACTATTAAATAATTCATCAACGAGAAATGCACGTCTGCGCAGACATGTGACGTGGGATAGCTGATGTCAGCAGCTGCTCACTTTAGACCAATAACAAGCAAGAAAATGGCCAACTAACATAACTAAATCTGGATCGTCCGTTGAAGCCACGGAACCTATCATCTCAACGGTCAAGAGCTCCCCACGAGTGCAACCTAGAAGACACGATACAGTTTCGTGCTTTTATCGTGTTCACACACAGATCAGAAAGGCTTGGGTTCCGTTCATCAATCAATCAATCAGAGAGACTCGTCGAGCAAAATACGCGTAATTGCTTAGATTATGTTCCCTTTTCTTCCTCCAGAGGAATTTCCCCTCTTGAGCGAACACGATGGGTTATCTTAATTACTAGTTTTTTCTTTTAGTTTCCAAGTGATTCCCCAATCGGGTACGTGATTGACTTCTCGGTCTTTTTTTTTTTTTTTTTTTTTGCAATTGACTTATAAATTTGGGTATTGGGTTAATGTATCAGTGGTTCCCTTGGTACTTATCTGCTCGACTCTAAGATGATTGCACCGTAAATTTCCGATTTGGTATTTGATTGAGGTTTTCTGTTCTGTGCGTGAGTACTTCTCTTTAATTTATCTGTTTATTTTGTGTCTCCATTTTGGTTATTTGTGGTTTTGGATGAAGTAGTGTTATATTTGATGTGATTTAGAATTCACGTATATATTGCTTAGTAAATTGCTCCCAGTAACTTGCTAAAATTTTTTGAGTGTGTCTGTGTGCATACAAATGCTCAAACTGAAGACTGAATCCATATTGGTTATCTCTCTGTTTTCATTGCTCTCGTAGCCTCTTCTTTCTGCAGAACTTACTCAAAATCTTGTATAGGAGTTTTAGTATTCTCTTTACTTTGCTGTGTGTTTCTCAAAGTCTTTTGATTATTGAGATGAATCCATAAATCCAATCTATCACCACGTGTTCTTTTCATGTGGTGGGAAACGAGTTGGAATTATGATTTCATGAACAGAATTACCATGGAAGCTTGATGCGTTTTGTTTTGATTTCCTGTCGAAGCAGCTTTAATGGGGAATATACTGAGTTTGAATAGTTCCACTTCCAAGAGTGAATGGAGTGACCCTCGTGATATTTTGCAAGGTGAGGCTTGCAAGAGACAGAGGTTGTCATCAAGCTTTAATGAGGACAACTCAAGACTGATTCCAGCCCTTCCTGATGAGTTATCACTTCAGATTCTAGCCAGAGTTCCTCGCATTAGTTACTTTAATCTCAAGTTTATTTCTCGTGCTTGGAAGGAGGCTCTTGTGAGTTCTGAACTATTTGCTTTGAGAAAAGAACTCGGAACGGCTGAGGAATGGCTCTACATATTAACAAAGGTCAAAGATGATAAGCTTTTATGGTATGCCTTGGACACTCTTTCAGGAAGATGGCAGAGATTGCCACCGATGCCAAATGTCACCTTTGAAGATGAAACAAAGGGTTTGACAGCCCTAAAAATGTTGCGCAGGGTGGGGTCAAGCATCAGAATTGCTGATGTCATAATGAGCTGGCTTGGGAGGCGAGATGCCCTAGATCGGATGCCATTTTGTGGTTGCTCAATTGAAGCTATTGATGGTTGCATCTATGCTTTAGGAGGATTTTTAAAGCTTCAGCAATGAAATCTGTTGGCGATATGATCCTGTGAAAAATTCTTGGAGTGAGGCTAGTCCAATGTCAGTTGGTAGAGCCTATTGTAAAACAGGTATATTGAATGGCAAGCTTTATGTTGTTGGAGGAATTACTAGGGGTCCTGGTGGACTTACCCCTCTTCAATCTGCAGAAGTGTATGACCCACATACTGGTGTGTGGTCTGAATTGCCAAGCATGCCTTTTGCAAAAGCTCAGTGCTACCAACTGCATTTTCTGGCTGACCTGCTCAAGCCTATTGCCACAGGAATGACATCGTATAAGGGAAAGTTATTCGTTCCTCAGAGTTTGTATTGCTGGCCATTTTTTGTTGATGTTGGTGGAGAAGCTTATGATCCAGATTCAAATTCATGGTTTGAAATGCCAATTGGTATGGGTGAAGGTTGGCCGGCACGGCAAGCCGGGACAAAACTTAGCGTCACTGTCAATGGTGATTTATATGCACTGGATCCTTCAAACTCTCTCGACAGTGCAAAGATCAAGTTATATGACCATGGAGATGATGCTTGGAAAACTGTTGCAGGAAATGTTCCAATCCATGATTTCACGGATTCAGAATCTCCCTATCTTTTGGCTAGTTCACATGGAAAGCTCCTAGTAATAACCAAAGATGCCAATCACAATATTACAGTGTTGCAGGCTGACCTGCAAAATGATTCATCATCCTCTCGATCTTTGTCGGCATCATCAGATGATGATTCACTCAGTAAACATGCTGATCCGTCTGAGGAATCTGAGAGAGAGCTTTGGAGGGTTCTTGCAACAAGGAATGGTAGATCCGCTGAACTAGTTAGCTGCCAATCCCTTAAAGTTTGATTGTGGATAATACTTGAATAAAATTTTAAGTGTCTGTTATCAAAATCTTCAATCAAAATATAACCCAATAGTATTTTTGGAAACTATATGATGTAGAGTTTTAAAAGGAGTTTATGCCTTATGTTTTATTGGAGAATCAAATAGTGAACATCTTAAAAATTGTAACTAAGCTTTGCCCTTGATTTATGAGAGAATA